CAATTTGATAAATATCATAAATTAATTAGTAAAATATCATTTATATTTATAATAATTAAATAAAAATAAATAATTCAACTATGTAAACCAATAATTTCAAAATGAAATTAATGTACAGTTACAAATAAATATAGCATGATTACATTTACTTTAATTAGTTTTAATTCCCTTAATGATATGACTTTTCTTTATCAATTTTTTGATGTGAGACTAAGTGAGTGTTTGGGTTGCGGAAAATTATTTTTTTTAAAAAATACTTACTAATAAAAAATAAATTTAAAATATTTTTTTACCCCTCATAACATGTGTAAATCTTATATTTTTTTAAAAATAGAATTTGATAAATATCATAAATTAATTAGTACATTATCCTTTCTGTTTATTGATTATAATAATTAAAAAAAATTAAATATGTGAACGAATGATTTCAAAATGAAATTAATATACAGTTACAATTAAATATAGCATGATTAGATTTACTTTAATTAGTTTTAGTTTTCTTAATGAAGTGACTTTTCTTTATCAGTTTTTTTATGGGAAGCTAAGCGAGTGTTTGGATTGCTGGAAAATATTTTAAAATAAAAATACATATTAATAAAAAATATTTTTAAAATATTTTTTAACCCATCATAACATGTGTAAATGTTATATTTTTTAAAAAAAATACAATTTGATAAATATCGTAATTTCTATTTATAATAGGTAAAGAAAAAAAATAAATAATTCAAAGATGTGAACAATGATTCACGTTGAGTTATTACCGAAAAATCAGTCTTTAATCACGGTAAATTGTATGTGACTTTTTCACGAGTCACCCATCCTGATGGTCTGATTGTTTTAACTATAGACGAGGATGAATAAAATCCCGTTACTACTACCAATGTCGTCTACAAAGAGATTTTCAATAATGTATAATTCAAGCCATTGGTATTATGTTTTTTAATATACAAAGATGACAAAATTGCTATATATCTACATAGAAAATATAACTTCCATATAAATAATTTCTATAACTGAGTTGCTAGACAACGAGTTAATTAGCCCAATTAATACAAATTATAAACACTGATATATAAAATCTCTACAGTTGCAGCAACGAATGCGTATATCTACACGTTAGCTATTAATTGAGAAATTATTTACTTGAATTCAAGCATTGATAACATCAGAAAACATAATCGGTGCAATTCAATTCTTCAATTATATTATATAATATTCGATGTTATAATTTATACAATTGTATATCAATCTAAATATTTTTAAAATATTATAACAAATTCATTCCTTGCAACACACGGGCACAAATACTAGTATCAAAGAAAAGTAAATCCCACCAAGAAGATCGGAGATAAGATTTTTGTTTTCTTAGGTGTCAGGAAATCTATCAAATTTATTTAATTACGTATTTATCATTTTTTGAGTTAGGTTAAAAGTCTTTTATAAATATAAGAAACTTGTCTCTCACATTATTACGAAAAATAGCAACACTATCTATCTAAGAGATTTCTCTCTCAACACTTTTTTATACACTTACCGTATTGAATTTTAAATATTTTTGTTGCATACTAGAATTTTTTGGTATATGATTTATTAATTTACAAGTAATTTATTAAACTCTCAATTATTCGTTATATTTTTTTCTTTTTAATCTTTGTATATAGCAAGGATATATTAGAGATTTTCAAAACTTTCATGAGAAAGCTTAAACAAACCAAACATCTTAACTAACTTTTCTAGGAAATTTGATTCTTATGTTTATAAGGTAACAACAAAAATGTTACTTAATTTTCTCTGCAAAGTTATTCGTATCAAATATATTCATTGAAAATCTTTTTCTAAAAATTTAATTGATGAGAAATTACCAAATGCACTCTTAACGTTTGTAATCTTAATTAGCTTTGTTCGATAAATCTAGTAAAGTTAGTTGAAAATGAAAAATTAGCTAAAAGTTGAGGAAAAGTACAATATTTATGAAAAATCTTACTTTTCTCACAAATAAAGATCCATGAAACAATCTAATAAGAGATTTTACCCCAGAATAAATCTTTGCCCTGAGACACCTAATTTTTTCTCGAACAAAATTCGCAAAAAAAAAGATTGAGGAATGATTAAAAAAATTGATCATAACACAACGAGACATTCGCCAAATAGTCGACCACTATATTCTATTCTCTAAAAATATACATCACCTAGACATATATAATCTTATGGTACCATAAGTTGCCTACATCCGTGAATTATATTCAATTATGTTCCGCAAGGGTATTATATTGTTCACGTTCAACCACTTAACCACTTGGGTTAAGATTGCACTCAACGATGATACAATGTAAATCCATATCTCAAACTCTTAATTTAAGTTACCATTCATTTATCAAACAAAGTATAAATTATTTGTTCTTTAAAATAAGTATAAGTTCCTAAATAATAAGCTTTGCTAACAAAACATTACCAAGATAATATAAGTAGGTAATGTTCCATAATCTTGTTTGGTTCAAATTATATAGTTACTTCAATAATCTACCACCACATAAGAATGTAATGTGAGTACTTCCATTCTCTTTTTTTTTTTTTTTTTGAATGCTACTGGTTCTATTACATTGTAGTATCTGTTCATATACTTTCTCAACCTACTGAAACACAAAGAACCAATAACGCCTCCACTGAAGCTCGAACTCACAACCTTCCAAATGGAAGTCCAACCCGGGTACCATTCTCTTAATTATTTATAAATTATTTTTCAATATTTCAACTTTTCCCTTATCAAGTTATCAACTAGTCTTTATATATTATAATTAACAACAACAACAATACATTTCTACATATTTAAAAATAATTAATATGCAGTGCTTTCAAAAACAAAAATTATAATGATATGCAGTGATAGATGTATATATATCATTTTAATTAATTATTTACTTATTTGTATATATTGATGACATTTAAGTTAATTATGCAATATAACATCAACTAAACATGTTAATATTACATTCTCGTAATCTGAAAACACACAATGTAACTTTATATTACCTTCCAAAAGATAATCCTATTAATCAAGGTAATTATCTCACTTTTGTGGACTAAGTTTTTTTTTTTTTTTTTTTTTTTTTTTTTTTTTTTTATTTCTTATATTTATAGTCAATGGCAATGCCAGCTACTAAGTTCAGTGGTGTTAATACTATATTAATATAATATTTTTCTTCTACTCATAATTTTCTTATGAAATTCAAGTTTTGATAAAACGATTTATAAATTAGCGTAACTTCAAAATAAAAAGTAATACATGTCCAACTAAATATTTAACTCGTGATAATTTACAAATAAGAAATCCAAGCCACAATTCACATTATCAATACTCTTCTAGATGAATTGATACCACACTCAACACATTTGGCATTCACACCTTCTCAAAAATAGATTTAAGATTTCAAATTTCTCCAATTTTTAATTTGTACGTAACTTTGTGGGCTATAATCCTATTAGGATTCAAGAAAGACATGTTTTCTATTCTTCACTTATTATTACAAACTTGAAAATGAAAATTAGAAAAATATTTTCAATTTGTAGTTCATTAAAAATAAATAATTTTACACAATTAGGCTTCTATAGATGTGTAGAGATTAGGAAAAAAAGAAAAAATAAATAAAAAATAAAAAGCAATACTTGGAAAAAAAATTTAATTGGTGATTTTTAAACTAATTTTAAAAAAAAAAAATCCTTTGCAATTGTACAAGGGGGAGAAAATTAGGTAAAAATTGAGATTTAATTTCTTTATTTTAGATATTAGTTTAATAATTATATATTTTTTAAAAATTCTACATTTTTAATTATATATTAATCCCATTAAATAATTTTACTAGTGTCAATTTTAAAAATGTTTCAATATATTTATATATACACCTAATAATGGCTAATAAGTAAGTAAGTAAATAAATAAATAAATTATATATATATATATATATATATATATATATATATATATATAATCCGTGAGATTATGAGATTACATCTTAAGCATCTAATCAAGATAAATTAGTGGTCATGATTTACCCTTTTTCTTCTCATTAAATTAAGATAGAATTAATGGATAGGCTGATATAGTAATTTTGGTTTTTTTTTTTTTTTTTATTTCTATTATAATTGGTTAGCCCATCTTTTGCATAATTATAGGAATTTTATTCATGGTAAGAATGCTGATTTGGATTTTAAGAACGTAATCAGAATGTTGTATGTGGAAGATGGTGTGTTCGTTTTGACGGTACTACGTACGCACACGCTAATCATAGGATGGTTATGTAATAGTCTGTGCAGCGTGACCATCAAAGGAGTGCACACACCAACTATATTATCTTATATTCTACAGTGTGTGAATGTTTGGCTACAGCATGTTGCACACAATGGGTGTGCGTGGTACAATGGAGATAACCTACAATATATGCGTGTTTTTTGTATAGTATTTGCAATGGTGATAAAGGTGAGTGATGTAATTCCCGGGGGGGGGGGGGGGGGGGGCTAGGGGTGGTCAATTAAGTCAACGATCATGGTGGTGACTCAGGGTACGATGTATGCATTTCTGTTATGTAGTATTTGCAATGATATAATAGGTTGGCTGCACGGTGTGCCACGTATGTGCAATAATGAAGTTGGAGTGTTGTTGTATAAGAATATTAATGCATGGTAGAAATAGGTGAATTACAAAGTGTGCAAATTAGCATGAGGGTGTGTGCAGAAAAGGGGTGGCGTAATTGCGTGTATGGTTGGGGAGGTGCGTGCACAACTGTACAACCAAGCGTTACAGAAATACAGCAATGTTAGTTGCATTTCTATCGTGACTAGAACTCCTACAAACATGAAAAAGATTTGTCATCAATTATAATATAATTAAAATTCCAGTTTAATTACTATATCACCATAAGAAAATAAAAACAATGTAGGAAAACAAACATAAAATTAATTCTAAACAGTGCCCATAACATCAAATCGAACATAAAATAAAAAAGGGAAATATAAAATATGTTTGCATATTGGTCCTATCATAGAACCATAATGGATTTGCAAGAACAATTACCAATCGTTATATCGTGAACCAGGGCACACATAGCAATGTACGTCTCGTGTAACCCAAAACGACGTCGTTTTGTTAATTTCAGGTATAAAATTTTGTACATTCTATTATATAATTCTGTACATTCGAAACATGGGAATTTTCAGTAATAAAATTTTGTGTTTCCAGATATAAAATTCTGTGTTTTTAAGTATAAAATTATGTACATTCTATTATATAATTCTGTACATTTGAAACATGGATTTTTTTAAAGAGTTAAGAGTTTATGTGTATTATGTTAAGAGTTTATGTGTATTATGTTAAGAGTTTATGTATATTATGTATTATGTTAGATTGTATGTATTATCCTTTCAAAAAAGATTATGTGTATTCAGTTATAAAATTCTGTGTTTTCAGGTATAAAATTCTGTGTATTCTATTCTTCAATTTTGTATATTCGAAACATGAATTTTTTTAAGGAGTTAACAGCAGACACACGAAAAGGTACAAAACGACGTCGTTTTGGGCCAGGGCGCACAATCCATTGTGCATCCTGGTGCATGGTATAATTCTCTCAAAGCACCAACACTACTTTATGTTTGAATCATTTTAATTTTTTACGAAATTAAATAATAATAATAATAATAATAATAATAATAATAATAATAATAATAATAATAATAATAATAATAATAATAATAATAATACTGCATTCTAATTTTTTTTGAAAGGAAATAATGCATTCTATTTAAGGGTGTGTTTGGAAACCTGGAAAATGATTTATGGAAATCATTTTCCAGGTTTTCAGTGTTTGGATGTGCCTGGAAAATCAAATGATTTATTATATACGGAGTATTATTATACATGTTGTTATATTCTAAATAAAATAATAAAAATGATTAATTATACAATTCTACTCATTTTTTAAAAAATGAACCAAACACACCAAGACAGTTTTCTAGAATGCAACCAAACACTGGAAAGGAAAATATTTTTAAAGGAAAATGACTCATTTTTCAAAAAATATTTTCAGAAATCATTTTCCTGCTTTCCAAATGGACCCTAATTGAATGAACCTATGTTTTAGATGCAATGAGTTCAGTGAATCCATACTACCATCAGTACCATGTGATGAGTTTAGTGCACCATACATGCATGCACGTATTTTGGAACAATAATCTCACCTCGTGTGATAACTGCACGTACACTTTGAATATGATGAATTCAATATCACTACTACGAAATGAATCATGGACAATGGTTTATAAAATTTCAACTTTTTAATAATTTAAAATGTGAATTTTGACATGATAAAGTTGAGTGAGAGATCTCTTTTGTTTTGTTTTTTGTTTTTAAATGAAGAACGATTTCTAAAAAAAATTTAATTGGTGAAAAAGTATTTAAAACCTTTAAATAATGGTAGGATGCATATATTCAATTCTTACAATTAAACTTTCAATTTAAAAAAAAAAATTAAATAAATACTCAAACTTTTTAAAATATGTTGCGTTCAATTAAAAAAAAAACTCAAAAAGTTACCGTGCATGTTAAATAGAATAACTGAATATTAAGTGGCTTGTGGTTCACTAGTATCGGATTGCTCCCTTATGTGGGAGGTCTAAGTTTTGAGCCTTAGTGTAGGTGTAGATTGTATGGGTATCCCCCTTCCCTTCTAAAAATAGAATAACCAAGTTGAAAAGGTTTTAATTCTTTATGTTAAAAAATTAGTATAGAATGTCATTTACGGTGGTCCACTTTTAGTTTGGGTCAAGTTAAAGTAGATTTAAAATTTTCTAGTTGAGACTAAGAGCACAAAGTATATTGTAGTATAGATCAAGGTCTATCATGTACATTATGGACCATGGTCCAAATTATGTATTCGTATTTAATATATTATGTACCTTCAGTAAATAATTTATGCACATGTAATTGGTTAAAAAATATTATGCACATATAAATAAACTAAATGTACATAATATATTAACTGCAAATACATAATATATTAATCGTAACTGGTACATAATCTTGGTAGAGCTCACAATTTGCATAGTGGACACTAGTCCATGATAAGAAGATATAACTATTGGATGATGAATTTGATATATATTATATGCTCAAAATGGATAATTGGCGAATAAGAAATTAATATTCAAAATGTAATCATTGAATTAAAAACAAAAATAGAATTTGGGGAGGCTTTTAAGTAGTCATGTTCCACATTGAAAAAAATGATGCAGGTTTATAGTAATATAAAGGAAAAATAACACTTTTGACCCTTAAATTATTTTACTTTTAGAAATTTGGTCCCTGTTAATGAATTTGAACAGATTTAGTCCATTAATTGTTCATTATGTTGCATTTTTAGTCTCTATTGTTATACAATTATAAAATTCCGTTAGTAAACTCTTTTTCATGAGGTTAATTTTGTCATTTAGATCAATACTCATTGTTAAAGTTTCACTCTTACCAAAGAACACTATTTTTAATAGTGAATATTAATTCTAAATAATAAAAATAGCCACATATGTTAATGGAGTTTGACAATTATATAACACTAGGAGCTAAAAGTATAACATGTTGAGCAATTAATGGGATAAATTTGTTTAAATTAACTTACACTGACTAAAATTTTAAAAATGAAACAATTCAGAAGTAAAAAAATGATATTTTTCTTAATATAAATACAAGTCAACTGCTTTCCAAAAAAAGAAAAAATACAAATCAACTTTTTAAAACGTTTAAATTATGCAACATAAATGTTCTTTCGAAAAAATTGTAAGCACCGAAAGAACATTTATGTTACATAATTTAAAACTTATATACAATTTATTTCAGTGCTTAATAAATTAGGAGAAGCGACATTGAATTAAAATTGTGACTGATTTTTTTTTTTTTTTTCAAATAAAATTCCCTTCGACCTACGGTTCATTATATTCTTTCTGAACTGAATAGAATCTTCACATCTTTAGCAATCTCCATGATTTAAAAAAATACAAATAAAAGCTTAGATTTTTGTTGGGTGTAATCAAAATTTTCATCGTTGAACATAGTGATTAATTTCCTCGTTAAATTGTAGACACTTTTTTTGATGTGATAGTTGGTCTGGAGATTTACGCGATGTTTTGTTGGATATAGTTGCAATTCAATTACTGCATAATTTTTTGGCCACCCGAATTACAGTGTTTGGTTGGAGGACCGAATTGCAACTCCCTCATTTTGTTGAAGTGTAATTCATACCCTCCCCATATGAATTACAATTCAAGGAGGGAAGAAAAGAGAAAAAGCAAGAAAATGACATTTTTACCCTTCATTATTATTAGTATTATTATTACACAAGAATATTTTAGTCTTTATACCACTTTTCTCATCTCTAATAATTTTATTCCCCCTGTTAATGTTACTTCATACCAAAAGTCAAAGATCAAACCTTTGACCTTTGATTAAAAATTAATGAATCCCTTTCACTTAATCACATTCAAGTTAAAAATAAAAATTTAAGTGATCACAACTTTAATTTGCGGAAACATGATTATTATTCTTTCCACTTCTTCACGTATAACTGATTAAGACTCAATATACTACTTTCATATATTATAAATATGTTTTACCAAAAATACAGAAAACTAAATAAAAATGGTCAAAAATGCATTTACATAATAAATAAATTTTTTTACGAAAAAAATAAATAAAAATGATATATAGTGCGGTATATTCCAGGTCCAGGTGTCAGTTTCAGTGACCTCTCCTTCCATGCAATCATCACACTAACCCACTCATCTCTGTATTGTTGTTTGGGTGTGTAAAATTAAATTGAGAGAAGTCCATTATATTAAGGTGTCAGATTGATCTGATGCTATTATTAATTAGATCCTGCGGTCAAGAATTTTGCCCAATTAGGCTATGCAGTTTGCAGACATATACACATGCTTCTGTCATGACAATGACTCTCCTTTGCACCGCCACTAGCTCCCCTCCTCCTCCTCCTCCTCCCACCATCCACCACTACTCAATTGTTATACTATACATCACAGTTCATCTTGTATTATAGACTCTAATATAAAAATTATAGAGTTAATACCATCTGAGATCCTCCGAGTATAATGGTTTTGCCATGTTTAGTTCTAAACTTTCAAATTGATCATCTGTGGTCCTTCGACTTTCAAATTTAACCATTCGTAGTCCAAGTTAACCACTCATGGTCCTTCAACTATTAAATTTTAACCAACCACGGTCCTTTCAAGAGGACCACGGTTAGTTAAATTTTGAAACTCGAAGGACCATTGGTGGTTAACATGGACCACGAATGGTTAAATTTGAAAGTCGAAGGACCACAGATGGTCAATTTGAAAGTTTAGGATTAAACGTGTCAAAACCACTATACTCGGAGGACCCCATGTGGCATTAACTCAAAAATTATATATATACAATTGACATATTCTATACATGTAATTAGCAATTTATGTGTCTGTAAATAAATTAAAAAAGAGTTAAATCCACTTTTGGTCCTACATTTATTACGCATTAGACACATTTTGCCCGCTTTTATTAATTTTGCCACATTTTATCCAGACTTTATAAAAATTGGACAGTTTTAGTCTAACGTTACTTTTGGCGTTAAGCATCCGTGAAGTAGAAGGTCACTTCTGTCCTTTCATGTCAATTTTTTTCATCAGCCTTCAATGTATACCTCACCAGAGATGTTCTTCACGATTTGCAAACCTAACCCAAATACGAAACACCACTTCAATCGCATTAACAAACCCAAACCCAGAATCAAGAGTGTGTGTAAACAAGATTTGAAGTTGTACCTTGTCAACCATCACTATGAACTCCTTAAGAACATTGGACCCAACACCACAATTCTTGAACATACAGCAAAACCCAATTAGCGGAAACACTGAAATTCACGTCATGGAGGTTGAAATTCTGCGAAACAAAAGGAGAGAAATGCAAACGAACCAAATGGGTCCCTAATTTCTTGATATTG